TATTTGAACATATAATTTTAATAGCACTGACTACCAAAAATAATTCAAACGCTATAGTGATATTTTACTACACCATTCAACATATTTTAATTTTAATTATAATATTCTCCGAGCGATCATTCATAAATTATTATTGTTCGAAAAAATATGCTAAAGTAGCAAAAAAAAAAAAAAAGCACTTTCTGCACATTCTGATAACTATTATGATACACTAATATTATGATAAGATCATAATTTATAGAAATGAATTAATGGCATGCATTGCATTTATTTTTATTTTTATTGACTTATTCGAGCTCATTTGCACTCATCGCCGCTTCTACAATGTCCCTATAAAGGAACTCTTAGGAGTCACGGGCATTGCTACTCCGTGATTATCCTAATTATTTTAAGCCCTCCATTGATGGGGATTATCGTAAGGCTAACCATACTACTTATAAAAAAACTAGTAACGAATCGACATACATTGTATTATCAATTATAATATTATTATAAAAACATTCGTATTGTAAAATATCTGTTTATGTGAATACAACAATATGTAATAGGTGTAGATGTAATGAATTCCAGTCTTGTGTATAATTAGCTCTTATCGGTCTATATATACGGTTCAAAACGTGCACTTTAAGCAATAATTGTAATCACCATCCATAACTACATATCACACGCACATGCTGTTCTGTAAAGTATACATCAAACACTATAACGTAGATAGGTATTTCGGTACTCAGGTCTCTTTAAATCCATCGTCGAGTACAGTTGAATACGTAGTTTTCGTGATTCCACACAGGCGCGTGTAATTCACAAGTACGCCAATCGATTGTAACACGAAGACGATTGTTAAGAAATAATTTCCTGTTAAAATCTTATCCACCCGTGCAAGTTGGTATACATTCACATGTACCCAATGTCGTAAGAAATCGACTATTTTCCGAACAGGTGTGCGCGTTTGTACATTGTATTGTCACACGTTTCCTGTGAACTCTCGTTTTATTCGCGGTGTGATGTGTGCTCCGTTTTTCCGCAAACGGATACGGAGGCAAGGACACAGTAACAAGCGTATCATACACCTCTAAACGAATGGCAAGCTTCGGTATTGGCGCACACACGCAAGGCTGGATTATTATCATAATATAAGAGGGACTATTACTTTTGATGAGGCCGTTGCACGAAAAATGATTTCCTTTTTTATACATACTTAGTGATTTCCAATAAATATTAATTAAAATAAGTTTATTGTTTATGAATATTGTAATGTAGTCGTAATGTATTGATAAAACAGTACTTTATACGTGTAAAGCGACTATTGAAAAACACATTGTGGTTCACTACAACTTACGGCCCAGTGCTCTAGCTCACCCGAGTCACACCTCTTTTAGTCCTGCACACACGGATGCAAGTTAAAAATCAAAACTCGCGAAGGGTCGCGACATGCGCTCGTCACCTGCGGTTTTCTTCGTGTCGGTTTCAAAATCTGTGGAGAACCGATACGATGATAACGCATAAACGACACGCACGCGACGTCGTCGTTGGTGCATCGCGTTTACATATTATTATAGATTCGAAGTTTTTTTAGCGCTTACTAATACTCCAATCGGTATTTTATATTTCGAGCGAAACGAGGAATGTGATTTTACGTCATATAATATAATTATTCAACGTATAGTCCCCGTCATATAAAACCGTGTCCAACACAAGTTTATTAATTATTACGGTAGGTTATTCCGTTATTCGAGCGTGATTGTAATAAACGATGAAATGTATTAACAATTTATCGCCGTGACGATGTTACTACCGCTGCAGAGTAAAAGTAACGATATAGTATGAAAAATATTTGATATGACAAATAAAGTTATCGAAAAATACCAAGTGCACGTCATTCGTTATTCGTTCGCTTCAAACAAAATCATCATAGAAATAAACTTGATCGTAATCGGTAAACAATTTAATTTTTATTATCATATTATATTATATTATTTCTAAGAGATTTCAGTATCTTGACTGTTATGTTTTAAAACTCAATTACATCTCTAGTGGAAGAACGCAGTGCGCCGAGTTGCTAAATACATGATAATAATAGTTGGTTAACCAAGCAGAGCCATAAAGAGGGCTTGAAAATACTGGCCTAGGTCAGGGGCGCGCCGAAGAAAGAGGCGCAAAAAAAAAATGAGATTTCAATTGAAAAAAGCTTTGTCAATTTTATTCATTAAAAATAGAAAACAATTACTGGATTAGCAAGTGAAATATTGAATAAATTAGAACAATATAGTATAGAATTTAAAAATTGCTGAGCTCAAGGATATGATAACGGAGCCAATATGTCTAGATAATATAATGATGTAGAAGCAGTAATTTAAAGAAAAAATTAATTAGCTACATTTATACTTTGTGATGTGTATAGTTTAAATAGAATTGGAGTTAATTCAGCATAATGATACGTGATGATCTTTCATAATGATTTAATTTTTTGGAACATTTAAAAAGTGTTTTATTCTGTTTCTGAAAAAATTATTAACATTATAAAAATCACATTAAAATCTCATTCAGATACTCATTGATTATAAAAAAAAAACCGTATTGTCTCTGCAATAAATCAACATACAACAACACAAATATATGAAAATTTGAAATGTATGTTCAATTTTAAATTCTTAAGTATAGACACAAAGGAAAAAACAAGTATCTACCTAGTGATTAGTTATATAGCTATTTATAAAATAATCAAGTTTAATTTTTACCAAAACCAATTCAACAGAACTATTTTTGTATGATTTTAATTCTTATAAGAACGAACTTAATATAAACATTTTATCATATTTATAATTAATTCCAAAAGTAATAATAACTAAGTTTAATGGTCAATTATTATCACAGATTAATGATAATTTGAATATTACAATAATGACGTCCATGACTACAATAGTTAGTAAAAATAATAATCACACAAACGTTAACTGCATAATAACCGTTATTAATTGTTAATATTTATAATAGCTTTATTACTTATACGGTTTATCATGTCTAGATGAAAAATTATTTTCAAGATTTGGCAGTGAATTTCTAGTCATAATAGATATTTCAATTGGCACAAATTAAATTGAAATTATTTTTTCGGTAAAAAGATACGGCGATTTTACCGAAAAACACGGTCGTACTTTTATAACACTAAAACGGTTCGATAGTGTGATTAGCTAAAAACTGAACTAATTTTTACTACGGCGATTTTTGATTTTTGACGTAATCGTCGATGTACAAGCGACTAGGCCTAGCGAAAGTAAAATCGTAGACATTTGTAACATCGTTCTCGTTCACTGTGCGATTAAGTTTACCCGCAATCGATATAACATAGTCGCACTACATAAATCAAACATGACATTAAAGCTAAAATAAAAAAAATGAAATATCATCACGACACAATAACGCGTACCTGTGTTTGCTGCGGAAACGGAAAGGATGAAAAAATTAATTGCGTACTTTATTCATATTATTTTTTTTCGTACCTATATACAATATATGATTAATCAAGAAATATTTAAACTACGTAATATATTATAGTACGTCTGTATCTGATGCGAAAAAACACGTTTCGAGTCGGAAACCAAGACGCACTCGGGTGGACGAGTATTTCCTTTACGGGTCCACCGGCTCATGTTTTGCGGATAAATCTCGACTACGATGTGTTTAATAAAACGCCGCGGCGCAGTAATACGATTTCGATTCGTACGCGTGTGGGTCGTCGTCGTCGTCGTCGTCATCATCATCGTCATCGCCTGAGGGCGCAAGTCAGAAAAATTCAAACGGCAGCCGATCGCGATCTGCGGCTGCGGCAACAATATTAATTTATTTCCGACCTGTACTGTGCGATTATTTAAACTATTTTTTTCAATGCTTTAACTAACAAATAATGTTGTATGTGTTTTACTGCGGAGAGTTATAACCGTAGTCGTAGCTGCTGGCCCCCGAAAAAAAAACAAAAAAAAAAAAAAACCGTCCGTCGTCGCATGACAACGGCGGTGCCGTCTCGATGATAATATCATTAACCCGACGACGACTGGTAAGCGTGTTGCGTATCACGATGTATACGACGGCGGCGATGATGATAGAAACTAATAATGATAAAAAAATACGTACATATGTACCGATAAAACGTTTCTATAGGAATCGCGTGCGCGTTTGACTGCTGCCGATGGTTACAGATACACGTTCAACATTATATATCATAATATAATACGTGTTAATAATCATAATAATAATAATATAAACGAAAAAATGAAAGAGAAAAACTATATCTATTATATTATACCCTCGTCGTGCGGTACCTACGGGCGACGTGTTTTCAATTATTAACGTCCGAAATGCTATTTCCGACCGGCCGACCGCCAACGTGCGCTTATAATATGGTAGCGCAACGGAGTCGTCATAAATCCGGTCGGTGGTCACCCTCAGCGAGCCGCACAGACAACTAAGTCGTGGCGATAATGGTGATGGTAGTCGGGGGAGGGATATTGTTTTTTTTTTCGATATTATATTTTAAGGTCTAATGGAAAACCGGTACGTTTATAATCACGAATATAATGTAATTTATACAAAATATATTTATACTACACAAATGTATATGCATACGAGCACACGTATTAAAATATATATTTATGATTTTTTTCCTTCGATTTTTTTTTTTTTATACTTCGGCCCGAGAAAAATATAATAGTATTATATTTATATATATATATATATATGTATACCTATAATAGTAATATCGATTTCCCCTGGAACGCTTAATGATATCTGAATCCTAATCAATTCCCACCATCGCCTAACGCGAACCAAATATTTAAATATTAATCGAACTACCCGTATTCAGTGAAACTGGTTTCCCCGCGGGATTCATTCATTCAAAAATATTTATATGATAACATGAAAAATTAACAGCAACGATTTGTAATATTATATCATTATTATACTAATTATAATAATAATTATTATTATTAATAATATTTTACCTTATTCGGCGCGTTGCAGTACCAAGCGGATTTATGATCCATGCCGGAGCCCAACTGTAACAAAAAAAAAAAAAAAATTACGAATAATTTCAGTCTTCTACATAATACTGTTTGATCCGAACACAAACATCATTGCTATGCACTTAGGCAGTGTCCTATGGTGTTTAAAAATTGGCTATTTACTACAATATTGTTGTATTCGGTATAACATGATAACACTAATCTATTTGACATATTACTAATACTATTATTATTATTATTATTTCTCTTTTTTCTTCTCTTTATAATTAATCATCGTTAATTTCCCTCTAAGGCCATTTTCTCATAGCGTATTATACTTAACATCGTGTCATCTTATTTCGTTTCACGATTATTTTTTGTTTTATAGTAACTTCAAACGAAGTCTATTCGTATATACGTAGAAACAAGTAGATTGTAACACATACATATACTTTTTTTGAACTTCATAACATTGTATTAACGTATCATAGATGTTAATAAATGTAACAAGATACCTGTCTATTTATCGAGACGCCTGAGGTATTTCGAAATTGTATACAATTTTCGGTGATTTCAACAAAAATAGAAAATTTATATTACGCGTTCTATATTATGAGCGCGCATGCTGAAAAAATAAATTGTGTTATTATTTTTATTACTATTCGTTTACATTATAATTCCAGTGTCAGAATCAATATTCTCAACCGGTTTTATTCAATTCAAAATTAAATCTTATACCATTATTATTACTTATTATAAATTCAAAAACACACATATATATATATATATTGATTTATTCGTTTGTTATTACACGTACCTATTCATAATCAATGTATATACGACACTTGATTAACGACTGTAATTAATTCGTATGGTTTCGCGTGCATTGAGTATTTAAATACAGAAAAACTAATAAAATTATATAATCTACCAGTCATCGTTGATTCGTATTTTATAATTTAAAATAAACAACCAGGTATATGTGCACAAGTGTTATACATAAATATTTGAAATTTTTATTATGTATGTAATAATAATGTTCAGAAAAATAATATAAGGAGTACATAATGCACAATAAAGAAATTATAATCGTTTATCGTCATAGTAATTTTAAAACCAAATACATTACTCGCTTATTCATTATCCGTGTACACTAAAATAATTTATCATTTAAAATCAAGAATATATTAATATAATTAAAATAAAATACTTATGTGTATTCACTTTTTTTGACTAAATAAACACGTTTTTTTTTCTTCACTCGTACATCTCAACTGTAACACTGATGGTACAATATATAAATGCGTTCATCAAAATCACACCAGAAATCGAAAATTAAAAATGAACATACATGATTTACACTCTATGTAAAGTAAACTTTTCATTGGGGTTAGATGATTTTATTGTTTTTAACACACGTTGATTTCGCTCGTTTATTTTGATAAAAGCTAAATTTGTTCTATTCTTAAAATACATTGGCTATTTATTTTTTTATTTTCAACGCTTTCTTTTTTCTCTTGTAAGCAAAGTGATATCTGAAATGTGTTAATTTCTCGCGCTACGTACAGCAATGTGTGCAGTGACGGCGGCAATTTTTCAAACACATTTATTATAATAATATGCACGTTTAATACATATTGAACGTCGGGCAGAAAATAGTTGTCTATTTTTTTTCTTACACTTTATTATTATTATTATTATTATTATTACTATATTGTGTTGTTTGTACCGACGAAACGCTCACGCGGTTTTTCTCTGTATGCTCATCGAATGGTCTGCACGTTAACGTATAAACACATACCTATACATAGGTACTTCTCGTACGCATAGATAAGATATAGGTAAAGAGAATATACGTCAATACACACGAATAGTTCGGGAAAGTGGTCCTAACAGATCAAATATTTACTCAATGAAACCTGTTCTTTTCATATTTTTTTATTATCATACAAGCAACGAAAATAACAGCTAAGGCATATATATATATATATATATATATATTTACATGTATTATTATTATGAGATCATCTCAGTCATTATCTCTCTCTCTCTCTCTCTCTCTTCTTTCTACAGAATGTCGAGTATTAAATATTTTATTTTTATGCACGAACACGTCATTGATTAAAAATATCGACGAATACATAGTATATAATATAAATGTTAGGGATAGAGTACAAAAATCGGGTGATGTGAACACTACTCAGGCTTGTTGGATAAAGTTAAATCGTATTTGTAAAAAGTTTAATTTTTTAGATATATTAACCAGGTAATTTGTGCATTATCTACCTTTGAGTGGACAAAGTGTTTTCATAAAATAAAATATGAAAAAATATCAATCGTGGATAATATTAATAAAATACGATAAAATACGAGTATAAAATGTACATCTTTGTGTGAAATAACTAGTTCACAATCACTTTTCGGTGATCAAAGTTTTAAAAAATGCTTGTGTAAAAATCATTCTTTAACAAATAAATGTACGAGTATCTAAATGTAAATCTGGGGAGACGTTTTGCAACTCAAAACGTCACCCGAATTTAAACTGTTTCTATAAATAACTATATTTATTTTTTTTTTCATGTATAAAATAATACATAATATACTTAATTATTTTTATTTTTTTTAATTAATATGATTTGGTTAAATTTTTTACTTCATACCTTATCTATAGCCCACTGGATAATGTACTACACATTATACTACTCATATGAATAAGGTGTACTTTACTCGAGTAATGTGTAAACTACCCATTTTCGAACTTTACCCGTAACATAAACATACACACACACACATAAACATTATATTACGATACATATAGTTACAGTAATCGGTATAGCTGCATAACAACTTATTATGCATTCAAATCGGTTTTAGGGTGAATAAACATTTCTTGAAAGATGCGTTCCGAGTCAAAGCGATAATTTCTCAAAACGATAAGTGGTTACGTTCGTAACACTTATTGAAATAGTGTATATTTGTGTATAATTTGTATAATATTATCTAAACGTCAGTGTCTCTGAGGCTTTTAATTTAATTTAACCATTAATTTTAGAATAGTCTATTCTAAAACCAATGGTTTAACACGAATATAAAGCATACATTAACATGCACGGTGTGGGTTCGACGTGAGCGAGTAGTGTCAAAAAATAACCAATATTTGGAGAATTGTGTACCACGTGCGTCATAATTTTCTCCCATTCGTATTTGCGGAAACGTAATTCCATTGTTTTAACCATACTTGGATACAAAGACATTTTTATATAACTATTATATATTTTTTTTGTATTACCCTGTACTCATTATGTATCGAAATAAATATTTAAACATATTCAATGTTAAATATGAAATAGTTCACATCAAGTACAGTTACGAATTAGATCATTCGAAATACTTAACCTTTCCGTTACTCCGTTATCTGACGATATTGGACAGTAAAAATCGCCTTAATTTAAAATCTTTGTCGTCCAACGTGCTTAAGTGACGACATGCGTACGAGAGAAAGGGTTAACACATCAGCACAACCCTAGCTCATTACTGATATATCTAGAACCGCGCCTGAAATTTACTGGACCGGAACTCGGGGGTGACGGTGCATCGTCTTTTACTCCGTGAAGATGATTAAATTAAGCGTACTTATATGCATCGTTCACCGCATACAGTAGAGTAACAAAGTCATTATGTACTAAAATTACAGTTATAGTATAACGTCACCGCTTGACAAGTATAACGTTACATATTTCACGCAGAACGGGGCGTGTGCGTACGCTCCCTTTACAGTTAAGATGATTAGGGGTGTGTTACAATGTACGTTTATAATAAGTCTACTACATCGGCGGCTCCACCCAGATTCAGGGATACAGTAGTGGATGAAGTGTACGGTCACGATACAGAGGTCGCCGTATCAGATCGGATGTGGAGGGTTGGCCGTGAGCGCGAACCAAAACCCGAACTCAGCGTGAAGAAAGGGTGCGATGCGAGGGTAGCGCACGCCACAACGATCAGTTGCGGACTCACTCGTGTACGTATTCAGTGACCGAGTTCGTCAAACACGCGGGCCCAACGAGAAAAAATTAAAAATACGTGAAAGTTAGATAGTAAAACCATTTTGTTAAAATATTTATAAATGGACCGCGATCGACCGATTTCGTTTCGTACACATGAACGTAGGTACATTTAAGTTTCTTTTGCGGCTTGTATAATCGAAGTTAAAAAACAGATTTTATATAGGTTTGATTACGATGGATCAAAAGGTATGGTTTCCCTGCAGCGTCCGGACATCGGTCTAGAAGGGGGGGGTGATAGATAGCATTAATTTTATTTGCATGCAGACCCGAATGAGTATGGTTGCGGCACTAAATATAGTTGTAGTCACGGGCCGCAATTGCGTCGGTATTATTCGTGTGCCGAGAACGCGACCTGACCAATATTTATGATCCACAACGTTATTGTCATTGTGAACGTGTGTCGCGTGCGATCCGACGTGCGAGCTCTTGCAGTTGAGTTGCGGTTGCGGTAAACGTCGAATCGTCCCACGCCCGACGGACTACATAATTGTCGTATTCTTCTCCACCTACACCGCCCGCTATTCGACCGTGTACAACGATACCTTTCGCAGGACGTTTTCGCGTTCACGAATACGTAGTGTATGACGGCGAGCGATGCTGGTTTTGTCGAAGCGTAGTGAAACGTACGTTTCAAACTATACGCTTCACGTATAGTGAAACGTATAGTGTTATAGTTAATACATAATTCGCACGTTTGACATGAAATATTATTATACACTCGTACCGCGTTTGGACCTGTTGACTTTAACATTTACTTTGAAAACTTCGACTTGCAGTGGATTCGGTTCGATACACGTAACTACTTCGTTAGAGAATAAACTTCGCGCCGCCGCAGCGTGCAGGTACGTCGTGCGCGCGCGCGATTGCGAAGAAACCCGACGTTTACGCGTGACCGAACGTGTGCGGGGTTCGACGGTAATAACAATAATAATACCGAACGGTCAGTCCGTTTTCATTTCAATTGGTTATTGTCTCTGTACGTATTACTTT